AAGCTCTTTCAAAAATGAATCTGAATCTTGTTATTTTTGTGCATATTAAGCATGCATCAATTTCTTGTTATTAATATGTTGTTTTATTGCATATAACTATGTTAGGTTATATATATATATGTATAATTGTAAATATACTATATTACTATATATAGTAGTATACTAATAAATGTCTCTTCTAAATTTATAATTAATCATTTAATCAGAATATGTCTTCATTGGACTGCTGCTATTAATGCTGTGTAAGTTCAGATATATTTATAAAATACATCAGATAACTATCTGCAAATTTTTGTATAAGCAGTAATTGTACTTCTTGCAAAACTAATTCTGTTGTTCGACCTGCTTGAAACTATGCTCTGCTAAATCTATACCCAGTAAAAAGATTTTAAGTTTATTTATAACCTAGTATTTTGTTGCCAGTTCACTACTAGCTTTAATGAATAATATGTTACCTTCTTTAGCATAGTTCAGTTTTGTTCTGCTACTAATATAAACCTTCAAGGTGCAAATAGAACACAAATTATAATTTATAGATTTAATAATTAACATTGGATATTCAGTATCTTATAAGCTTTTATTCTGAACAACTATATAATAACAAAGCATTATTGCTGGCTTTATTAAACCTCAAACTTTGCATCTTTGAAATCTTGGTGGCATCTTGCTGAGTTTGTAATAACAATTCTCTTAGCTGAGCTAAGTCATAAAAGGCTACCAATGCTACTGACCAGAACAATTGCATTCTGTGTTACTAAAATTTAAGCTGCTCTGCAATTTGTGTAACTGTGCCCTTGTAATGTGTTTTTTTGGCATATTGAAGTAAATGTATGGTTATTTTCAATAGTCTTCAGCAGTTGTTTTATCAATAGATCATAATGAACAGTATTTCATTTCATGTGGTTTATCATATAATAGTGTTTAAGTGCTAATAAATATAATATAATTAATTGTAGTATAACCTTTGTATAGAAATATATGATAAATTTTACTAAGTTCTTCTTTAATATAGGTCATATTGTTTCATCTCTGTTTAACTATTCATTCTTGACTACTAATCTTTGATATTTCTTTGTAATTGCATTATATGTCTTGTATATGATAAAGCTTATTTCTAAAATCCTTTTAGCTTGCTTATTTAATATTATATTATTAATATATAGTTTGTTTAATTATTTTTCTACCACTTGCTATAATCTTCTCATTTTCTGTAAAGAGTTATTAGCTCTTAGTTCTACTGCATTAATGATAGAATAGTAGATTTTAGATTAGTATAGTTAGTTGTAATAATTGGTTGTAAGTAGCATGCTAAGGATTTTTTAGCTATATATTTTCTGTAACCATTGCATAATAACAGATTAGCTTCTACATTATCTCTCTAACTTATATGTTCTAGTTTAATTGAAAAATTGTCTTAAATTTATACTGTATACATCTTTGCAATTATATCATTAACCATCTGGTTCTTACAGTATTTATTATAAAATACTTCTGCATTAGCCTAGTTGTTTGTTTATATAATTAGATGCTTCTGTGTCCATAAAGATGCAAAAGTGAAAATTGCAATAAGACTAGTTAGTAATTTCTGTATTTGGATGTTATAGATAGTTAAATCTATTGTTCTGAACCAATTAAAGTTTGTGAAGTACATATTGTAAGTTGCACTGCCATCTAAGTTTGATGCATCTGTAAATAAATTTTGAATTTCTGATTGCAACCATATTCTGTTTTCAATAAGATATACACCAGACCACCTTAAAAGAAATTTAAACCATCATGCAATATTTGCTTTTATTTGATCTATTATTTTAATATAACATTTTGGCTTTTTATTTTCTTCTAAAGTCTTAATAAAGCATTGAACAAATGGTATACTCTGAGGTACCTCTTGATACAGCCATATAAGGAACTTAACTAATGATTGTAGCTGTTTTTTATAATATTACTTCTTCTTACTTTATTTAGATAACATTTCTAATATTTTAGTCTTTTTTAATTCAGGAACTAATATTAACAATGCTACTATATTAATATAGAAACTGAGAAATATAAATGCTATATTTGGGCCTTCTAACTTTGATTGTTTATAAAAACATTTATAATTTCTAGTATTCAAAGAAATTGTCTAATTCTTGCTTTGCATAACTTTGTAAGATAATTAAAAAATTATTAACATAATAAATAATCAATTTAATACCTTGCTCTACTGCAATCTATATAATTATGTCTGCAAAAATAACAGAATATTTCATCTAATACTCTGTTCTTAAAATGCAAGTGCTTTGTCAAAATATATATTGCCTTCATATAGTAAATTCTGAAGAACCTGATCTACTGAATTTACTGGTAATATATGATATGCATCTTGTATATCAATTTTTAATAACATGTAATCTCTTTCATATTGTATTATCTATTCCACAGCATGATTTTTATTTTTATATTTGCTTACAATCTCTATCCTATTTATAACATAACTTATACTAGCCTCAAATGGTGCTGACAAATGTGAAATAACTTAATACATTTTAGGCTTTGAATCTTTTTCTCAACTAATCTTATAAGTTGATCTAAAATTTTTTGCATAATAAATCTTTTAGTAGGAAAGAACTACATATCTGTTTTACTACTATTTCTTTATCAATATAGCTTTTAAAGACTACTGGTTCTATCTCAATTAATTTTAGATTTGTCTAAATTATTTTTTGTTTATTTTTTTTATTAAAGGTTATATTTATAATAATACTTTATTGACTTTTATTAGATTAGCTATTACAACTATTTTTACAGAGATGAGAGTACAACTAGTCATGCTTGCAACTTTTGGTTGTTTATTTAAGTAGTTTGCTCTAAGGTTTTACACTAGATGCCATACTTATAACCTACTAGAAGATTTTCTATTTTAAATCCTTTGATTATTCATTCTGTTATGATATAATTCCAACTTATCCCCTGTATATACCTAACAAATATATTGTTTGTGCAGTATGGTATCTACTCTTTTAGTATTAGTTCTTAGACTGTTATATATTTCAGAGTATATCATCTGCCAGTAAGATGCAGGAGGCCCTCTGTTGTTAACTATTTATACATTTTTAGAATATTAACAAAGGTTACCCTTACAAAGTTCACTCAAACATTAACATTAACTTTATAGTATATTCCTAGTACTTTTAGCATACTTCTGCTTTGACCTCAAACTTCCAATTCAGAAAGTCTAAAAGAACTGTAACCTGTTCTTGGTATATTGAGGCTGACCCAATATTCTTTTCTTCTTGTCTGAAATCTGGTAGTCTGTTGGTAGTATATTTCATCTAAGATTCTTGCCTGCTTGATTCTTTTACATTGGTATTCATTTTCTAGATCTAGTCTTTACAGTAGTACTATTAAAGATTTATGTTATCTTTTTGCTTAGAATTTTTAAGTAAGTTCCAGATTCCCAATTCTATAGATTTATATAGCCCAAGGACTTATTTTAGGTTTGTACTACTCAGTACCAGTTTGCATTTCTCTGTGTAATCAAGTTTACACAGATGCTGCAAACCTGTCAGTTATGCTGATATGACTATAGTTACAGATATCCTATGCAAACTAATCAACAGAATGCTGTTACCAAATACTGTCTATATATTATATAGGTGATTATCCAAATTTTGCTATTAGTAGGTTTTGAACTTACAATCTACTACTTGGAGGTATAATAATTTATTCAATTCACTAAGTCACCACACACTTTTCTAAATCATTTTTGTGTATTTGCAAAAAAGTTAAACCAAAAATTTTGTTCAAGACCTTTCATCAAATATTGAACAAAAAGTTAATTCAGATGTTCTTGCATAAAGTACTCAAAAACTAACTTATTAACAAGTATTGTCAGATTAAATAGTAATGGGTCTAATTGCTTAACTATAACTATCTCTTCCTGCATAAGCTGGCTATATCAGAATAATAATGTTTCAATAGTTGAGTTTACTAATTGCAAAGATGGTTTTTTATATGACACAACTGTAAAAGCTTTAGATGTCTTAAATTGTACTGAATACTTTATATTCTGGTTTTGTTTTTTCTTTGTTTTTGATTCAGATATTTATATTATATTAGTATAACTTCTTTCTATATATAAATATATATTTTTTTTTTATATATATATACTTATATCACCAGTATATTACTTGTTTATTCACTTATCATCTATAGACTAAATACTAATACATATATCAAATATTTATTTTGCTATTACTATAATAAATTACTTATTCCTTCACTTTTTTTATTTATTTATTTTTTTTATTGTTTGTTCTGTAAATTATTCTTTGGTGATTCTACTTGTTTGAACCTATTAAACTTGCGAAAACAATTCTTCTTATTATGGCCTATCTTTTTACAAATGATACAAGCATGGACTCTAACACAGTCTTTTTCTTCTAAACATGTTCTTCTATTCTAGTTTAAACAAATTTTTTTGCAATTTTACTATGAGGCATCCAACTAGCTAAGGCAGTGCCACTCAGTCTTGGTTCTTTTAGCTGTTGAAACATCAATGTTCCTCCTCTCTGCCTTGATATTTCTGTTAAGCAAAGTGTTACTACGATTTATTAACAATGCAATTCTCTAATATTCATTATATTTCATTACAGCTGAAAATTCATATTTAATGCATAATTCATTTATGTGATCCCTATATGCATTTAACAATTGTTTTCAGTTATCATATAATATAGTATTAAATCCATATAAGCTTTGAATGCAAGTAACCATTCAGATATATCTCTAAATCCAATAATTCACCTGCATTTCTTTATTATTAAAATTTCACTTTCAGATGTTTATAATACTGTGTTCTCACTCTCATACTTTACATTATCAATAATATTTTTGTATGCAAACTCCTAAAGGTTAGTAAACAAACTGAATGCTATAGATTTTTATGTTTTATTTAGCAGGCTTGGCTTGTGCGGTAGCAGCTTGATTATTTTTTGACCTTCAGACCAATTCAGAACCTACCATCTGTGAATTTGCTCTGTTATTGTTGCCTTTTTGTTGAATATTCCTTGTACATCTGATATTAAACTTAATAATACATAATTTAATACTAGATATTTTCTGTTTGTCAACTTATACTTCACTGATTTAACATCTAAACCTAACCCTTCTACTTGTGAAATTTCTGAATCAATTCTTGCAATTAGATTATTAATTACTGGAGTTGAAGGATAATTACCTTCTTGTGGTCCCATGCTTCTTTCTATATTAGGTGCTTGTGGAATATTCCTTTGATTTGACTCTGGGTATTGTTTTGTCATCATTGGATCATTATCACCAAACTGATTGTTTCTAACTTCACTGTCCAATGTGCTTGTTTGTATAAAATGCTGGTTGATTGTTTTCATGCATCTTATGTTCCACTCTTTTTGTAACTCCATTTGCTGATCCATATACTGCTGTATGTTCTGCATTATTGATGTTACAGTTGTCTGAATTACTGTGTCTACGTATGTCTTTATTGATGTGTTAATCTGTATGTTTATTTCATCTGTCTCTTGTCTTTGACTGTTATGCTCTGTCTCTGCTTCTACTGTGTTTTCTGATATTGCACTTCTGTCCCAATTGTTGTCTTTGATTTTTGCATTTCATCTACTCATTCTGCAAATAGAATATTCATAATGCAGTTAAACACTAATTGCACAATATTTTTGCATCATTATATATGCTGCTATACTTAGCTATACTCGGTTAAATCTTGCTTCGGATTCAGAAATTTCTCATGGTTACTGAATTCAGAAGCTGATATAAAGTCATACCTAAACTTTGATTACATTTTCTTGTGATGCTGATCTTAATCTCCTTATTTTGACATCTACATTGGTTGCTCGTATCTGATCGGAGCCAAACCTTTCTGTGCCTGGTGGTGTTCACATCACTGCTTAGTCGTCTTTTCAATCTGTTGACCATGCGTCAACTTGAATGAAAATACAATACACTTTATAGAACTTAATTGAATCTATCAAATGAGTTCATCCAATCAAATTAATTTTGTATTGTTATAATAATTCAATTCAGGATCCAAGTCCTATAAATTGTATTGTGTTTTCATGTGATTTAAGGACCGAGTCCTTACCGATCCTGCAGGCCCTTGTCCCAAAAGACCGATTAACATCCCTAATGGTCATCATAACAAACGTATGCGTATTCGCCAATTCCACATAATTTGCCACTAGACCATACACTTCGTATTTCATACTCCGTTCCTGGTATAAATAAGTTTAAGTTAATGAGTGTTTACGTTTGAATAATGATAAAGATTTCAACTATGAGTGGATTCGAGATTTTGTAGTGTAAGTTCGTGACTTTAACGTGGGTGTTCGTTTCAGCAGTACAGTTTCGAGATTTTGACGAGATGGGTCGTGATTTAATAGTGGGTGAAGAATATACAAGATGTGACAATTATGATCATGTTGACCAATCGGGTAATAGATTTTGGGTCCGCACCACTTTTCTTTCTGTAAGCCAGATTTTCATCATTCCGTTCCTGGTACTTCGCGATTTTCATCACTCCGTTCCTCAAGCGCCTAGTTGGAATGCGAAAAATAAGCAATGCATAACAATATGTGATGAACAGAGTCACGCAGACCAATCAAGTTCTGAAAATTGCACAGACACATTAACTTGCCTGTAAACCATACACTAATGGGGTTTACGATATACTAATTAATCAAATCTATGTAAAGTATTGTAATGCGTAAAGCTTAGTAGTGTCGATTTTATGCATAGATCGGCAAAATAATTAAATTTATTAGCGAAGACTAGTTTTCAAAAAATTGTTTCATCTCACATCAAACGATTAGCTTAATATAATTAAGCAAAGCTATAGAATAATATTTTTAATTAAATTAGTAAAAACTTTTGTGATATTGTTAAAACTAAAAAAATAAATTGACTTTATTAAAAAAAATTCATAAATAAAAATTTTATTCTATAGCTTTATTTAATTATGTCAAAGCAATCGTTTAATATATAAATGCCTTGAAAATAATAGATGATACGTGAGGTGAAGCAATTTTTGAAAATTAGTCTGCGCTAGTAAATTAGTAAAATTAATGATTTTGCATAAAATCGGTACTACTAACTTTTATTACATAGATATGATTTATTAGTATATGTAAGTCCCAATACACTAGGTACTTCGTTCCTGGTAAATGTTTGAAAAAAGATTTCTACTAGCCACGTTTTAAAAAATGGTTTTTTTATTAGTTAATAGCTTTTAATTCAATTTAAGTTATCTTTATAAAGAGGTAACCAAAATAAACAAAATCATGTGAGCGTGAACAATTGTTCACGCCGATGCCAAGAAAAATTGTTAAAATTCTCGATTATACGCAGGTTAGAAGACATGCAATAAAACTTCCAAAATACAAAAGT